AAAAAAAAGACAGAAGGGAAAGTTGAATCCTGATTTGCATTAACTCAGAGATAAACGAAAAAAAATCATAGGATAAGCCGGAAAATCTGAACACTGGATATTTGATAATATTAAGGAATTGTTATTAATTTTCAGGTATAATATTGGCATTGTGATTATTTTTTTTAAAGAGTCCTTATCTTGATAAGCACCTATTAAAGTATTTATGGATGAAATGAAATGGTGCCTTAGATTTGCTTTACAATAATCCACCAGGGCCGGGAGGGCGGAGACGAAACAAGAAGGGCCAGATGTTGGTAAATGTTGAAACCGCATTATGGGTACCTGGAAGTTCATTATACTCTCTATCTTTATATGCTTAAAATTTTTCAAAATAAAAACTTTTATTTAAAAAAAATTATGGCATTACAGTTAACTAAGCTCAGGAGTACAGTAAGTCAGAATTTCTAATAATTTGATGGATACTAAATCTTGGCATTAGCCAAAATGAAACGTTTTCCAAGGAGAATATGACTGTGAACCAGACTTTAAAGAGAATGGTTGAAACTACCAGAAAAACAAACTCCTCCTAGATACTAGGAACATCATTATTAGTATGTGGTTATATATGGTTATTATTTATTCATTAAAGCAAGAACTAGTAGAACCCCCACTGTATAATATTGTTAGTTTATCTTACATATGCATTGGAAAGTAAGGATATTTTATTCTATATTTTAAACTACATTATATATAATTTATACATGTGAGTCACATACACAGAGAGCCTACTGTGTGCCAGACTACATGTTGGGCTCTGTGCGAGGCTCTGGGGGGTATCAGGGTAAAGAGATGGACAGGGGCCCTGGGCAGGAAAGACATTAAATGAACTACGTGTAGCTGATATGTGTCCAGCGCTGTGCAGGAAAGCCATGGACAGGGCCAACAGAGCACAAACCTCCGCAAGGAGGCTTCCAGTAGACTGGCCTGTGTGGCCACCAAGGAGTTAGTCACCTGAAGGGCTGCAAAGAGGAGGAGGGCAGAAAACAGACACATAGCAGGGAACATTCTGGGCCAAGGGAACAGCACAGGCAAAAGCCCTGAGGTAGCAGAGAACGAGGTGAGTTTGAGAAAGTGCAAGACGTCCAAGGTGGCTAGAGCACAGAGCCTCTGAGAGAGAAGAGCATGAGATGAGACCAGAGAGGTAGGGAGGCCTTTTAGGCCAAAGGAAAGAGTGGGAATTGAATTAAAATGGATACCAGGAAGGTATTAAGCTTGGGAGGAACATGACTATAGTTGCATCTGAGAAAGACCATTCTGCCTATGGATTGAGGAGACTATATGGCAGTCTCCAGGCAAGAGCTGATGGTAGAGAAAGCAGGATACCTGAGGATCTTCTGTAAAAACAAAGAATTCAGAATATTTACTAAGCTAATTACTTCAGACTAGCAGGATTATTACTAAAATGTGACATTCACGCAATTGAGGTCTATTCAGGTTTGGTTCTGTCCTGTGAATTTTGAGTTTGGGCTGGAAGAGAAGAAAGGGAAGAATATACAGTTTC